TTGGCTACCCTTCTCTTACTTTTATAAAAAGTCCATTCTTACGTTAATGCACAAAGTGTATTTTGAAACTTTGTGTCAATCTGTTTGAGAACTTTCCTCTGAAAAGACAACTTCTAGGTCAACTCGCTTTCCTAATCAATTTAATATCATTAGGTTTAAATCTGTTACTGGATTAGAAGTACAGAGTCCCTGTAATCTGGAATTTTTGGAATAGACTAGTTAAAGTGCCTGAAAATTTTAATTCCTATAAGCAGATATTAAAGAAACACACCAGGGACATTGTGGAGTATTCCTTTAGCAAGGAAGCGACATTGATCACCACAAAAAAAGATGATTTTATATACTTTTAAGCATTTTATTTTCTGGTATTATATTAGTATTTCAATTAATAGGCGCTTGTAAATCTCAGTTTTTTGCATATATATATATTGTTTTCTCCCTGTGCATAGCTTTTATTCTTTTGTTAATATCTTTTGTGTTTGTCAAATTTTGATTGTGTATAGTAAGCCCACATCAGCCCTTCGGCTGCCAAACAATCTCAACCTACTTATCAAATAAAGTTTACCTACCTACAATGCATTTTTCTTACTTTTCATATTTTGGCCCTTTCTATACTGAGATCTTTGATTGCACATTTACAGGTAATCACATTTCTTGTAATTAAAACCAAGAGAGGCATACAAAAAATGATTAATTTTGTCCAGTAATCTTGGCTTCAAACTGCTAGTTTGTTTAAAGATTTGAGAGAATAAGCATATCTTCAACCCTGATGTTCAGATACATTTATACTAATAAGTGAGTGCTATTTGCCTGAAACATCCACAGAATAGGACTGATATAATCTTTCACTCATTGCTTGATGGTATATATATGTTGGCCGGCAGTTTAGCCTGGAACCTATCTTGTTCTAGCTTATGTTTCTCTTATTAGAATGCAGACTACACTAACCATCAAATAGCAGATCTCTCTGAAAAACTAGAACAAGCTGAATCTCAAGTAAGCAAAAAGCTCATTTTTTCAAGTTATACTGGGGGAGGAATGCTGATTGCATTTCATTTAAAGGAATAAAAATGATTCTAACTTGATGGTATAGTAATTGTCCATTTTGTGTGATTCCTCAGTATTTTTCATTTTTTTTTCCATGATTAAATGTTCCAATTGTAAGGTATTAACTTTGTAAATAAGGTGTTTCAAATTGATGCCATATGCTTTTGAAAATTTTTTACTTCTACCAAACATTACCAAAAAAAGTTTAAACATTATCAAAATCACCTGTGGTTGAGTTGTGAATTGCCTATCATTTGGTAGGTTGGTCGCATGGGAAGTTTCATGATGGGTATGGATCAAGACAAGAAGGAGGAAGGAAAGTTGGCAAAAACCACCAGAGACAGGTATATTGAAAAAAACTAACTTAACATAAATGATTAAAAGGAAAAAAAATCCTAAAGAAATTGTGGTGCCCCATCAGTAAGGGGTACAACAAAGTACATGTAATTTGCATATATCAGCTGAGTTCTTAACATAATTTGGCCACAATAAATTGGGTACAATGATAGTGAATTATCTGATGCAACAACACTGCACAATGAGCGTGTTATGGATCAAACCTTGAGTCCAGTGGGTAAATTAATCATTAAGCCAGATTATAATGGCATGCAAAACACTATAGTCATTCTTCATAGTAATGAAAAGTTTACAGAACAATTTTGAGATAACTATGTGCATATTTGAGGCTTTAAAACTTCTTTTGTGATCTTTCAGCTCAAAAACATCCATTGAGGCTATTCATGGTCTCATGTCCCAAGTCATTAAAAATAAACTCTTCAACCAAGTTGGTGGAAAGGAGTCAACTTAAATTCCCAGTAAACCTGGTGCTAAGATTTTAATGTTATTTACTGGCCTTGAGATTGTTATAGAAAACCATGATGTAAATGTAAATATGTTTGCAGAATAAAGAGTTAAGTTTGTAGCATATGTTTTACATGATAAATGATACAATTTAGATACCTGCTT